TTGCCCAGGCTGGAGTGCAGTGGCATGATCACAGTTCACTGCATCCTCAGTTTCCGAGGTTCAAGCGATTCTCATGCCTCAGCCTCCTGAGTAGCTGGGATTACAGGCATGCACCACCACACTTGACTAATTTTTATATTTTTATTAGAGACAGGGTTAAACTTGTTGGCCAGGCTGGTCTCCAACTCCTGGCCTCAAGTGATCTGCCTGTCTTGGCCTCCCAAGTTGCTGGGATTACAGGCCTGAGCCACTGTGCCCAGCCATGGATTAATCAGTTTTCCTTCTTTTACTGGTGAGTGAAAGTACATTTGCTCTACTAGTTTGTATTGTTAGGGTTTGGTTTGGTTTGGTTTGGTTTGGTTAGCCATTCTGGTGAGTATAGTAAATATAACAGGTTGAATATCCCTTATCTGAAATACTTGGGACCAGAAGTGTTTTAGATTTCAGGTTTGTTTGTTTTTTTTTTAATTGGAGTATCTGCATTATACTTACTGGTTGAGCATCTCTCATTCAAAATTCTGAAATCTGAAATGCTGTCAGTAAGCATTCCCTTTGAGTGTTGTGCAAATGCTCAGAACATTTAGGATTTTGGAGTAATTTGGAGTTCATATTTCTGGATTAGGGTACTCTATCTATAGTGTATGTTCTTTTTTTTTTTTTTTTTTTTTTAGATGGAGGTTTGCTCTTTTTACCCAGGCTGGAGTGCAATGGCGCGATCTCGGGTCACTGCAACCTCCGCCTCCTGGGTTCAGGCAATTCTCCTGCCTCGGCCTCCTGAGTAGCTGGGATTACAGGCACGCGCCACCATGCCCAGCTGATTTTTTGTAGTTTTAGTAGAGACAGGGTTTCACCATGTTGACCAGGATGGTCTCGATCTCTTGACCTCGTGATCCACCCGCCTCGGCCTCCCAAAGTGCTGGGATTACAGGCGTGAGCCACTGCGCCCGGCCTAATGTATGTTCTTGATTACCAGTGATGATAAATATTTCATGGTTTACAGACCACATGGTCTCTGTCCTAGCTATTCGGCTCTGCTACTGCAGTGTGAAAGCAGCCAGTACTATAATACCTAAACAAATGAGGGTGGCTATATTCCAGTAAAACTTAACTTACCAAGAAAAAACCACTGAGTTGGGTTTGCTCCATGAGCCATTTGCTAACTCCTGTATTAACTCAGTTAATTGGAGAGGAAACACCAGAAGTCATTTATGGGATATATGACTGTTAAAAACCTTCGTTTTTTGAGAAGAGAGGGAGTAGATATGATGTTTTCAGAGTTGATTTTAAACATTTTTTAAAACTTAGACTTTATACAATTTTTTTTAAATTTTTTATTTAAAAATATAAAGACAGGGTTTCACCATGTTGGCCAGGCTGGTCTTGAACTCCTAACCTCAGGTGATCCACCCGACTCGGCCTCCCAAAGTGCTGAGCTTACAGGCGTGAGCCACCACACTCAGCCTACAATTCTTAATATACCACAAAATAGCTATTGCCTTATCTGTTATTTTTCAAATTGACCTTTATTACAAAAAACTGATAAAAGTAAATATTGGGGAATGTTTCAGAATTTAACTTTATAACCCAGACTTA